CTGCTTTGCTGCTTCAGGAGCTGGATGACTTGCTGCCATTAATGAAATCATGAAATCTGCTCCTTGTTAAAAAAAAAAAAATCCTGGAAAAAGAGGTGAAGCACATAAGAAAAGTCAACCCTGGAGAGGCTAAAATAAGATTAAGGTTTTAGACTTAAATCGAAGTGGCATGACCTTTAACATGCCAGTTATGCTTGAAAACCTTCTAATGTGGCTGAAATAGAACAATCCTGCAAAAGAAGGGCTAACATTTCTGCTTAGGGATAAAAGATAGTCTCTGCAAGTAAACTTTCTCTTTTCACCCAGGTTGTCTTTGTATTTTAAGCTTTAGCATTTAGTTTGACTAAAAGGTGAAAATATAAGAAATCTGTAAGGAGGCAAAGATGTTTTCACAGCACTTTGTCTATTAGTGCAAAAGACATGACCTCAAGACATTCTCTTCTAGCATACAAAAGCTTATACAATCAAAGCAAGATGGATAAAGGAAATGCAATCACATGATACAAGCATCCTGAACTTCAAACAGGACTTTCAAACTTTATTCACTCTACTCTTCTCCTCTTTAAGCATTCACACACTGTGCACGTTCAGTGATCTCACAAAGTCTGCTAAATCAAAACTGCTGATCTTGTTCCTGAAGGTCAGCTAAATTGCCAAACAGATAATATAGAACAGTGGCTGCTCTGTGTCGGAGTAAATGCTGTGACATTTTAAAGGTTTGTAGTTGGTAACAAGACTACAACTTGTTATAAGTGACCAAAGTCTGTTTTTTCTATTCAATAAAAGTGTAACTTAGATGGCTCCAGAGCCTTAGTTCTGGGTGCAACCAACATGAACGTGGAATTTTCACCGTCTGTGAGAGTATGAGAACATTTAGTGAAATAAATGACAGAGATATCACCGAATCATTAGTTAATAATTAATGTGTCAAGAAAACCCTCTCTCTTTTCTGATTGTGAGTTTCCTCCAGAATGCACTTCTACTTCTTGAATTATTGGTAGACGTACATCCTCTTTCATCCTTTTCATGTGTAGTGGTACTTTAGAACTCTGAGTTTCTTTTTTTTCCTCTCATGATCCATCAACCATTACACCCACACAGATTATTTGTACTATAAAGAGTTATACACACACAGGGGCCAATAGTGCACACATGGACTTACACCTCAGCCATTATCTACAAGAGTCATTTAGTCAGATGGCCTTTCTTCTGAGGTCTAATGAGAGATAAAAAAAAATGCACTGATAATCAAACTACAGAAGTCTGCTGATCAGCTAGAAAGAGAGCAGGCTTCATCAGACTCAGGTACTCAGATATTTTTGAAATTTTATATGGAATAGAGGAGACAGAGGGTGGAGTGCAGGAGAGAGAGGAGTGAAGGTGATCACTACTATCAAATAGAGCCCTTTATTTATCTCAGAGTGTGGCTGCAAAACGTGTTACAGTAATTTGCAAAAAATGGCAAAAGGCAAACCTAAAATAAAATATCTGATATTACATCTACAAAAGTGAGAGAATCTTTGTGTTATCTATTCAATTTATTTTTAAACAAAGGGTTCCTTCTTTCATTGTAAAGATTTATATCTGTAACTCTAATTTTAGCAGTTTTATTTAAAAAGGAAAGTTCTGCTATTATATGGATTCTTTAAACACCAGCCGATATATAGATATAGTTCAAGCATTTTCCTCTCCTCCATTTTACTATGACAGTTTACAGATAATGAAACACACTATTTAGTTTCCCAAAAACCAAATGTTACATAAGCCCTGATGTTGGGTGATTGCCTTGTGATGCAAAAGATTGCTGACTTGACAGCTGTCCTGCAAACCTTTCATATGGAGGGTAAGTCACAACAAGAAGAAAAAACTAAGTGGAAGGAAAACACGTGAAAGAAAAAAGATGATCTGGCAACAGTGATAACTGCAGCTTTAAAATAAATGCAACATTTAAAAATATAGCAGGAGTTCAGAAGGCAGTTTAAGTCTGTGTTCCTCAATTTAACCAAAGCACATGTGCTACAACTGTTAGAGTCAAGCCACTCTCCAACAAGAGGCAATGCTTGAGCTGTCCTACTTTATTCAGATCTATTTCAATTTTCTATTTCATCTGGAAATCAAGGAGACTGGAGGATGTGCGAGGGGCACAGAAACAAAGCTTTTTGCATTTCATTGAAATGTTTTTACACTTGCTGTGGGAAATCAAGTCATCTGCTAATGTCGTTACTGTGTTTATTGAGTTAAATGTCAGCATTCTGTCTACTTAAAGGCTTTATAAAGCATTTTTTTCAGACATAAAAGCCTTATTCAATGTGCTCTGTTTCAACTAACCATCAGATTGCTCAAATTCTAATTACAAAAATAAATTTGCTAAGTGGAAACACTGCAATAAATGAGGTGGAAACACTTTTCGCATCACATGGGTCACATCGTCTGCAATTGGACCTTAGTGCCTTGTTACAAAGAAGACTGGAGGTAGTTGGAGAATGATAGTTCCAACATATTTTAATTGATATTGAGGAGACTGAGTACTTACTTTTAGCCCTAGTGCTGAAATATAGATGGCAGCCCACTGCTCCCCAAGGGGATGGGTTAAATGCAGAGAATTCATTTTGTTGTTCTGTACTTGTGACAGTGTAATGGCAATAAAAAGCTGGGAAGACATGCTCATGCCATGTCGTTTTCAAGAATTGTCGTATAAACAAATGTATTCATGTGCAGTTGAAGTTGTTTTACCTATTTATTTGAAAATACTGCAAATGTAAAAATAGCATTTTCCAAATTAGCAGAATATCAACATAGTTTTGCATACATTTGTAATGGAAATGGAAATACTGTGCTTGATTGCTTGTTAAACATATGACCTCATGGCATTGAGAATCTTTTTAGTATTGGCAAGATGAAGAGGGGAGACAACAGGCCCAGCAATAAAAATGAGCTGACTGCCACGACTACAACAAACAGGGGGTTCCTTAATACCTTAGTAGTTTTCTCCATGCAATGCCACATTGATTAGGTTATGGAAGAGGAGCCCAATATAACTTCTGATGACACATAATGTAATAGGATGCAATTTAAAAGAACTTGCATTAATATCCATTCAGGAGACCCTCTACAATGTAGTCTCCTCTCCTTAGTTTCACAGGAAAAAGAGGGAGAAAGTAGCAGTCTTAAAGCCATCATATAAGGCAATGTGCAGAGACAACCGGATTCTTCCCCTAATGTTTAAAATAATATCCTGGCTAATCTCAAAGAAGAAAAAACAAAAACATTGTACTGTAGTATAACCAGTGTCAACAAAAATATTGAAAACAGAACTGCATACCTGAATCCAGATTCATCTTAGCTTGAAAATCATTCATAGTTTTAAAATAGCAGGTTTTAAAAAAAAATATTGAAAGAAGTGATTGGAGGACCTTTTTTTATCTTCACACATTAATTTTCTTGTGATTAAAAATATAGAATTTATCCTTTGTCAAAGTGTTGGAAAAATATAGTGGCTGTTAACAACGATCTAAGCACATCTGTTTCCACAGGCGGGAAGGGAATAAAAAACCTCCATATGGCCAGAAATTTTTAAAATCTGGTAATATTTTATTTTCTGGAATTACTGGTCTACTAGTTTGAATATATTTTATCATTTGAGATCTGGTTATTTGTCTAATTCTACATATTTCTGTCAAGTTCAGAAAATAGCCATGATCTTTTCATAAAAGAAACATGTTTAACTGACCTATATTTATTCTGCTTAATCTAGATTAAACTAAAAATCACAGAATGGAAATCTCCTTACTCCCGTTTTTCAGTCTCTTGTGAGGAAGAATTTCCATTGGGAGAACTTCGGCCTCCAGTCAAGTTATAAAGGGCACCTGTGGGAAGGTTCAGCTCTTTGAGGAGTTTTTAAAACTGCAGTGATTTGCAAAAATGGGACACAATCCGCTCATTTTACTAATGAACAGAGGAGTCTATAAATGAAGGCATAACCTTCAGCTGAGCAGACCCGTTGATGTTAAAAAAGTGCCAAAGCACAGCAGTATAATTCTTGATGCTGTAGCCCATAGCATATTTTATAAACCCTCATCACTGCTCAGGTATTAAGAAAATTATCTTAAATGATAATGTTTTCCATTTATTAAGCTTCATAAGACTATACTCTTTAGGTTTGTCATATTAAAACACTTTAGTAAAACAAGTGCTTAAAATAATTTATTTTTATCCAAAGGTCCAATAATATTTCCTGACATTTACTTTATCTAATTTGATATCATGTCGTAGCCATTCCAAAACAGTAAAAAAAAAAACAAGTTTGAAGACGTTTCGCTTCCCATTGAGGAACCTTTTTCAATTAAAAATATCAGAATTAGCTTTCAGTTTGAAGCTTTATATAGTAGCCCAAAATGCATATTGAACCAGAAGAATGGGTCCGCCCCTTAGGAATGAGGAGTCATTTTGGGTTCTTTAGCCTGTAATACCCGATACTGGGCTATGTCTCTGAAAGTTGGGTCGTGAGGGCCAATTGTTGGCTTGGCTGCCGAGGCGAGATGTTTTGTCCTTCACAAGGAAGCAACCTTAACTCAGGTTTTAGCCCTCAAAAACCGACAATGGAGAGTTAGAGTTGATTCCTTCCCCTGATCATTTCAACCCCCATGCAGGGGACAAAACATCTCGTATGAGTAGCCAAGTCAATAACAGGTAAAGATATTTCTAAGAATCCGAGTTTGATCTAAATGTTAAAAATTGTTAACCAAGTTTGTATTTATTTATTTATTTATTTATCTATCTAACCAGTCACAGACTCTTTAACAGGGAAGGATTTTAATCCTGTTGTGATAACCGTGCAAACTGACAGAAGGCATATTGTTCTTATATGGTTCAAACAGGCACAGGTGTTTCTGAGATCTCTTGTTGAGATCTCACGATTTGCTATTGCAGCTCACAGTGAAAACTTAGTATTGTTGTTTAACATAGATTTTTTTTTCTGTCTATCTCAATTTTTTCTTTAGCTCTTTGTGGAGGATATGTTTTTGGTAAAACTGGGACAATTCTCTCTCCTGGCTTTCCTGATTTCTATCCTAACTCGTTAAACTGCACCTGGACTATAGAGGTGTCTCATGGGAAAGGTAAGAACACTTATGCACATATAGAGCCAAAACACTGACTGTACTTTGGATCTTACTGTTGTGGTTAGTTCTTATCTGACTTGTTAGAGAGCATGTAGCTGTTCATAAGTTGTTGTGGAGTAAAAAGATTACTTTTTCTCCAGCCATTTTATCTGCTGTGCTTAATGTTTATTTCTGTTTTGCTTCTCTATGTCTAATTCTACATTCCTCAATCTATCAATTTTTTTCCCCAAATTCCCACCTATTCATACAGGAGTCCATCTGGTTTTCCATACTTTCCATCTAGAGGAGAATCATGACTATCTGTCCATCATTGAAGATGGCAACTTCCACGCTCCTGTAGCTCGACTCACCGGCTCAGTGCTTCCACCTAGTGTTAAAGCTGGACTCTACGGAAACTTCAGCGTGCAGATGCGATTTATATCAGATTTTTCTATGAGTTACGAAGGATTCAACATAACTTTTTCAGGTAAGACAAGCAGTAAAAAATATTACACAGAATGCATCGAAAATGCTTTTGAATGCTGCATAAGGATGTAAATATGATTTGGAAAGGATATACTGCTTAACCTAAATCTGTTGGTTTCATGTAGTCTTATTTATTTTTTACATTGACCTAAATACATTTCAAAAAAATGTTATAGCCTTGATGGATTTAAAAGGATTTACTCTAACCAGTTTGTTTATGATGCCAAACGTTATTGGTATCTTTCAGATAATAAAATAATGTAAACAGCTGGAATGATAAAATAAAATATTATTCTAAACCTAATCAACCAGGAGTATGTTTATCTCTGTATTTGTTCAATTGGCATAACAAATCCACTAATTCAGGGGTCCTCAATGTTTTTGGTCCAAGACGTCAGATTGATGGAGGTAGGGAGCAAGGTATCCAGTATCTTCACAACTCCAATGTTAAATACCTCTGCCCTAATTACTAATTACTTAGTTTGGTGAATGTTTTTTTATGACACATTAGTGAAATGGAAAAATACTTGTTCATGTTTTTTACATATAATACTTCATTACTAAGAGATACTTAGTAAGAATTCAGCTATATCTTAACAAAATGCCAAATTTCAATAAAAATTCTCATCTCTGTTAAAAGTTTTATTTTTTTTATTTTTTTACTGCTTCTGGCAACCATTTCAGCCTATCAGCTAAAGACTTATGCAGTCTTATCCTTGCTTCAGTTAGTTTCCTAAATAGATAAAGCCCTTTTCCATTCACTCCTTAGTAATATTATCCTTCTCGTCTGAATGTACAGAGTACGACTTGGAGCCCTGTGAGGATCCTGGTGTGCCGGCATTCAGCAGGAGGATGGGATTTCGATTTGGAGTTGGCGATTTGCTTGCATTCTCTTGTTTCCACGGCTACAGGCTTGAGGGAGACACTAAGATCACTTGTCTAGGAGGTGGCAGGAGAGTGTGGAGCAACATACTGCCAAGGTGTATAGGTAAGATGATTGTGAGATGAGACAAATTGATTTACAGTAGTGAGGAAACTTTTAAATAAAAATTTAGACAATTTCCATATGCATTTTTTTATCTTCTAAATTCATTTAATTAATTATCAAACATGATTTTGTCCACAGTTTTTAAGGCAATGAAGTTACATCATCTTATTTGGTTCAAATTAATGTTTCAAATTGCCTTTTATACTGCATGAATGGATTGGAAGTAAAGTATCAGCATTTGCTTGGTTGTAAATTTGCTAATGTTTTATTTGGAACAGAGGTAATTTACTGTTTCCTGACTGCTTGACTGTTAGTTTTATTTGCCAAGATTTTTCTGTTAGCAGGTTGTTATATGTGGGAATTTGATGCCTATCAGTATTTCTCCGGATGCTGCTGGTAATTTATGAGAGTCTGACTTGAAGCTGCTGGGAATTTCCGAGTCCCAGTGAGAGCAGACTAAAAATGCCATGATAGCGTTATCTGTGAAGAGATCAGGTTTTTACTATGAGGGAACCAGCCACAGCTGGAAACACACTGTGTTCATTTTTCCCCTTGTCCTTTTTCCTTGTACTTCACTGTTTTTTTTTTCTTTTCTCCTCATGTTTATTTGGATACTTCTTTGGAAGATAACTACATCTCTTCCTTTCAAGGGAAATGCTAAATATGCATATTATGTTACTTCCGCATCCCCATTATAATTTATTTCCCTACACTTTAAAACTGGTATTTTTCTGTTTTCTTGCCATCTCAAGTGTTTCTTCCCCTCTTACAGCCTTTTTTTTAAAACCCATCTTGCAATCTTTAAATTACTGAACTCTATTAGGTTAAATTCTAAAACTAAATCATGATAGAACTGCTGAATTTACTATGCATCAACTCTGTTCCATACCAAAGAAAAATTTTGCTTTGATTTGAACATTTTTAGAAGTTTGATAGAAATAGATATAATTTGTGTAAATTTGATAAAGAGAAAATTATGTTCTCCCCATCTCTTTCACTCCTAGTTGCTGGTCATATCCTAATTTTAGTAGTATTTCCGAAAGCCTGCAGAAAGCTTGTTAATCATTTTGTGTTTTTCCTTATTCCTTATAAGTTAAAATTTTATTTTTCTTTCATAATTAACCAGTTATTTAATTTCTGAACATTGACAAACAGGCCTCTTGGCAAAGAGTTTTGTATAATTTCTCTATTTCTTGTTAATGAATCTTGTCCTACTTTCTTACATTACTGCATTTATCATCTTCAGGGCTCCTTGTTTTGATCATTGTATTTTCAGAAGAAAATATTTCCAGGACTTTAAAGAAGACCTGTTCTTAGGATACTCATCCCCTTAAAAATTATTGTAAATACAGTGCGTCTATGATAATTCATTTCACAACATGCCATTGTAGATCTTGCTGTATGTTAAGAGTAGTTGTCTTGTTCATTGTTAAACCCCCCCCCCCCAATTCCAAATATTTTGCAGTGATTAATAGATTTTCTCCCCACATGGCTAATGTGAATTTCAAAAGGAACTTTTTGCCGCTTTTTTAACATTACCTTGCTTTTTGACACTCTTCCATAAAAGCTAAATGTGTGGAATGTACAACTATCATCTTTCCACCTGAACTGTGGATCTTTGCAGCTCCCCTTGAATAACATGGAACTCTTGGCTGTATCTCTTTTCATTTTTCGCCTTTGCAGTCTGCCTTGTCATGTGTTGGTTAGCTTTCAGCTGTGCTCTAAATTTCCCTTCAACTTCATTCCTGATTTGTCTGCTGTGTTCGTTTCTCTAACAAACCTCTAAGGACTTGAAAGAACAGCTGTATTCTTACAAAGGATAAATGATGCACAGGTGGACTCTTTTTTTCTCAAAGTAATTACATATGCCTTTCAGATTTTTTGGTATTTCTTATGAAAATGTAAGTTACATTTTTCCATTCACAATTATGAATCAGTATGAGTTGATCACCAAAAAAAAACACTTAAGTTCATCAGTTCATGGCTTTAATACATAAAATAATGCATGAAAATGTTTTTTTTTTTTATATAAAATATGGACCGTGCAATAACCTGTTTTTCATGTCTGAGTGAGATATATGGACAGTGAGAGATAACTATGGAGTTGCTATGATTTTTGTTTACCTGAGTTTTTGCCTTTTTCCTTTTCTCCTCTCCTGCAGCTGAGTGTGGAGCTTCTACACTTGGACCAGATGGTGTTCTACTCTCTCCAAATTTCCCCTCCAGTTATGATAACAACCATGAGTGCATTTACCGCATCACTACTGAAAAGGGCAAAGGAATCAGGCTGAAAGCTGAGAGCTTCTCTTTGCAAGATGGAGACTACCTAAAGGTATGCTGGGGTTTTTTCTCCTTCCCTTTCTTTACCTATTACGGAAAAAATAAATGTCTGTCATTATGAAATTTCAGCACGTGGATTATCCTTAAATGTTTAATCTATGCCCACACATGAAAATGCAGAGTGACTATGCAGGATTATATACTGCAAAGGTGTGGTCTAACAGTATAAGAAATCTAAACTTTTTTTTATTTAAAATTCAGTATGTGCCTCAGCAGAGTTATTCTGGGATTAACCAGAGTGAAATTAGATGATATCTTGCATGGTACTGTGCTTTTTATGACGCTCAGACAAGGTTTGACTAATCAGTTATCTTCTGCCTTGCTGCAAACATGTACAGTATGTAACAGTAAAACCCAGTTTAAAAACATTAATGAGCCATATCAGTTATTCGGTAGGCTTTGATCCAACATGTGCACCTGTAATTACTGGAGTTTTCTGAAACCAAGGCAGGATGTAAAACATATATTGCAGTAAGGGAGTTGAAATCTTATATAAGTAATATAGCTGATTTGTATTTTCTCTACCTTTAGGATTTATTGAAGACTGGTATGTAAAGACATAAATATCTCTAATGGGAATTATTAATGTTCTCTATTAGTGTTGATGCCTGTGCTTTTTTAGAAGTGGAAGGGGAACAAATCAGCCTCCAATAACCCTGAGAAGATTTACCTTTGTATCGGTCGGCTGGCCTTAGCTTTTATACACTTTCCTTTGTTTCAGTTTGTTGTATCCGTAAGTGAAACTAAGAGCTATATTTCAAAAGGAATTTTCAAGCGATCCAAAAAAAAGGATCATAAAGGTGCATCACAGTAAAACAAATGTATGACTGTGTTTTTCTGGCTCGAGGGTTTAAATCAGGCATGCCCAAAGTTGGTTATTGAGGGCCGCTGTCCTGCAGGTTTTAGAGGATTCCATGCTTTAGCACTGCTGATTCCGATGATTGCAGCCCGGCAAAAGCCTGTTAGTCAGCTATCAATAAAAATCAGCGGTGCTGGAGCAGGGATACCTCTAAAACCCGCAGGACAGCAGCCCCCGCACCGACTTTGGCGTTGTTTATTTTGGCATTTGGATAAATGGTAACCGTTTCAAGTCTGAGGGGAGGCAACTTTATTTATGTAGCACATTTTAATAGCAAGACAAATTAAAGTGATACAGGGTATGCATAAAAAAATGGGAAAGCACACAGAAAAAAATATACTTATGTGGCACACAGATAATTTAATTATTGAAATTATATATAAAATATGAATATTAAAAAATAATATTAAATAATTGCAGAAATTATATATAATAAAATATAATAAAGTAATTGATAATAAAATGGAGAACAAATTTTACTCAAAACTGAAATTATTCATGTTTAGATAGCACAGTCAACTATGAGGTGCCCCCAGGGACATAAATCAGAATTAACTTCCATATACACATATTAAATTAAACTCTTCCATATAATATGCTGAAAAACATGCATATAAAAAGTACAAAGTAGTGAGAACTGTTCATATAAACTGGTGAAAAGCATTACCTTTCATACATACTACTGAAAAGCTTTGATATACACTACTAAAACATTTAACTAGTTTTCCATAATCAAAGGTAGAGGGTAAAATGGTAAATGACTGTGTGAATAGAACGTTAAAACATGCCAAATTGTATATATTTTATTTTTTGTTACATTACCTAAAAATGGCAAGTTTTATACACAAATCTTATCCCCTTTTGCCTAGCATGTACTTAATTATGAATAACATTTAGAAACTGCAATTGCAAATTATTGAGAAAAAATATTATTCTCATGTCTGAGAACCCTCCACTAGTCTTGTCCCCAACAAAACTGTGTACCTCTTCTACTACACAAAAGCTGTGTTTGGTTTTGTTTAAACATGATGGGTGATTATCGTCAATTATTACCTGTGGCACAGGGTGCATCTGGTACCTAGGCCTTCAGTGGACACCCCTCAACTTAATCTACCCCTTAACTCCTTCACATTCAAATTAAAGTATATACAAGCTGAACAGTGATACTCAATGTCAAGAATGTAATACAATTATAACATTTAGGACTACCACTAAAGCTATAGTTTCTCGTTGAACCAGTAACTGTAACAAATATTTTATGCTCCTGGTCAATACAGTCTCACTCCCAACTCGTCACATATTGACACTTGGTCAACCCCCCTGCGCTTCAGATACTGACGCAACGGGGATTCCGCTGTCGTCAGTAACTGACATGTTTGGTTCATGACAGGCTGTGGCAGAAACTTCCAACATTTTTTTCCATGAGCTGTGAAGTAAAAACTTACCACTAACCCATCTCTTACCCTAAACCTAGGCCCTAGACCTAAAGAAACAGTACCATACAATTCTAAAGCTACCAAAGTTACATTGTAGGCTAAACTTCTTTTTTTTTTTCTTTTTTTGTTGCGGGTAGCATGATACACTGCCCGCAACCTGTAATCTAGTCCGCGCATGTGACGAGCAGGGAGTTTGACCAAGCCCATGTTAACTAGTTGGGAGTGAGAATATGTTGCCCTAGTCCTAGCTTCCTAACTGCCACTTTTCTGATTTATCGGCGTTATTATGGCAACTGTGGATGCACTTCCAGTCTAGATTAGATGTCTTCTTATGGTGATTGATTATATTTGTTAAGCATATTGATTCTGCCACCATTAGATAGGCCTATAGACTATTAACAAAATGTAGTCACAACCACTAACAGGTTACCAGTGTCTCCTGTTTATTAGCCAAGCAATTAGCCATCACACTAAATCCAGCTGTGTGTTCATGAGCAGTTGGCATAAATCACTGTAGACATACCTACACTGTATTTCTAAGCAGTCTGTAACGTGTTGAGTTGGTTTTACCCAAATTTCAATTGGACAGCCACAATGATACACCTGAGGGTAAGGCATTAACCCAGTGAACCTTCCTATGGCTTCCAAGCACTGGCCCAACTTTTCAGCAAGAGAAATTCCTGTTGGCTGGTTGAAAAGTTTCTAAATGTCACTAAATGTTGTCATTGCCCAATTTGCATATTTGCTGATAGGAGCCGTAAGAGAAAGGAAAAGCAATATCAGTGTCACAGAAAGTGATCAAAAACACTCTAAATATGTTTAAACTAAATATGTACTATAAAATAATTTATAGTATTTAATAAAATTGGTAGTCAATTGGTATTCAACTGAACTAAGGCTGAATGAATTAATATTGTTATGCTATCAAATTCCACTTAAACACTCAGTGGATAAAGCTGTGTTTGAATTAGTTCACCCTGGAGAGACTCACATAGAGAAAATATGCAATTAGAAAGGTTTTATTGACATGAAGGAAATAAGTTCTTTAGTGCTTAGACACCAGCAGAAGACTTTGATGCTGTTAATTGACATTCGCCTGGATGAGTAATTTAGGAAAAGGATTAGAGTTGTCTTTCCCTGGTGGCCTGGACACTGGTGGTGGAATAAGCCAGAGGATAAGTAGTACTGAGAGAAGTCTGAGAGTGAGGGCAGAGCTAGGGCAGAGGTGGGTTACAGTTCGGCTGGGGTGCAGGAGGAAAGGTGGGCCAGAGGCTAAAGGAATGGGATCTTGAAAGACAATTGTCCTCTGAGTGGGTGCGCTCCCGATGTTGATTGGCTTGAGCTTTAACATGGCACATAAGCAGGTAGTCGAGGTGAGGCTGATTAGTAAAAATGCCCAAAGTCTGTCTTCAAGGGCCGCTTTCCTGCAGGTTTTAGAGGTTTCTCTGCTTTAGCATAGCTGATTTTCATAAATGCAGTTCATAAAAAACCTGTTAGTCAGCTATCAATGAAAATCAGCTGTACTGGAGCAGGGAAACCTCTAAAACCTGCAGGACAGCAGCCCTCGAGGACCGACTTTTGGCATGCCTGCATTTGCATCTTCCAGATTGAACTTCCGCTCAAGCTTGATATAGGGGATAGGTCTATTCTAGTGCAAAATTTTTCAAGAAAGAAAATTATGCTAAATAGTATATTTACATCCCACCCTTAATTCAAGTTGAACAGTGGAAGGTTTGTGCATACTTGACAAATTTTAAGTGGGAAAATAGGGGAGAGTTGCTTTTCTCTCTCTGACTCCAGGCAGGGCCGCTCTAGGTTCTCTTGTGCCCAAGGCGATATTGTCTCAATGCATCTGGACACGATTCAAAGGTAAATTTAATTCCCAAAAGTCCCAAGAAACTATATTATGTAATATTTAAACTTCCAGCGAGGGTCCATGTGCAGTAGGATCAACACCTACAATACAGCATGTAACATTGTTTTTGCTATTAGCTTGTTAGAATACCATTCTATGGTCATACCATCACAACCTTCTGCAGAAGCACCATAGAGAGAGTTCTGACCAGCTCTATCACTGTATGGTGTGGAGGCTGCAGTGCCGCAGATTGGAAGAAAGTGAGAAGAGTAGTGAGAATTGCAGAGAAGATCATCGGGGCTCCTTTTCCCTCCATAAAAGTTATTTCATTGCAGCGCTGTGTGTCCCGAGCCCGTAACGTTATAAATGACCCCTCACACCCCCACCATGGACTGTTGTCACTGCTGCCCTCTGGAAAGAGACTGAAGTGCAGGGGACTAGACTAAGAGGCTTTGGAGCATTCAGTGCTGTTCTTCTTCCCCACCGCCATCAGACAACTAAAGGTTGAAAAACTCTAATGTCACAGACACTGCATCACACTGACCAAATCAATACATTTTTTTTGTACCATGTTTATTTCTCCCACACTGTTTATATTTAATCAATGTTATGAGAACTGTACAAAATGAACAATAATAAAAGTTGTCTAAATCTAAAACTTTTGCTAATCTATGTAGTCTACATAACTCCGATTTGGGGCAGTTATTCTTCCTCCTCCTTCCACTGGTTTCTGAATGGGTTTCGGAAAATTGTTCCTGGTTGGATTAATGTTCATTTCAATCATTTACTTTTAATCATTGAAAAGTTTAACACATCACAAACATTCCACAATGCTAACCACA